CGGAGCTTCTGTCAGCTTCTCTCCCTTCACGACCCTCAACAAAACGAACGCTTGGCGAAACAGTCTCTGGCATATCATATGCACCTGTTTCATCCCCTTTCAGTTCCGCATAAAACAGCCACATGCTGTTCCCTGTTGGCAAAGATCAATACTACAACGCTCAATAAATCTACTGTCAAGGTGCCTCTCAGCTTTTTCAGCTTTTGCAAAGTCTCGCCAGGCATGCAGGCAGTGAAGCAACAAGCGCACATTTGCATACCTCGGGAAAGCATTCAGCTTGAAAACATGAACGTCCCAAATATTGAGTGACACTTGGCGAAACAGTGTCTATGCCTCATCGATTGCCACATGTGTGTTTGGCATATGGGCCGCTGGCAGAGAAGACCAAGCTGGTGTGAAGGGCAAATAAAGGATATTGCCAGGGTGCTTCTCAGCTTTTTCACCTTTTGCAAAGTCTCGCCAGGTGTCCAAACTGTGCAGCAGCAAGCGCACATTCGCATGCCTCAGGTATTCGGAATTCGGAATAACCCTGTAAAGTTTCGGCGTGGACACTGGTTTTTGATCCGCACTGGTCATGCGATCTCTGCTTCTCTGCTTCCGAGGCGTTCTCTGCGGGTTCCACGTCTTTGCTCTGGAGTTTGACGGCACAGGTAGCACCAAGCTGGTTCAGTGGTCTACCGCATTAAACATGTTCCTTGGAATGCTTGGACAGTTCATCCCACTGATCCGGGATGCCAATTCGCTATGTTCCGCTACTCATCGAAAAGGGAAAGCTCTTTTATCCGATTTTCTTCGATTCTGGTTCTTCATTGCCTAGTGTTCTCCATCGCCTAGTGTGTTTCTCAAAAAAAGTAGGAAATTGATGAAATAGACCTAAGTCATTGGAGTTTGCCGGCATTTCAATACATAGCATATACCCATACAAGGATAAAACAAATGATAAAAGTATCTGCGGCCTCACAAGCCAAGGAAAATATGCCCAAAAAATGTCCCGCAAAAAATTAAAAAAGCCTTGACATGCCTTGGCCCAACGGAACGTGGCATGATCAATGAAGTTCAACGTGGCATCACCAAAGCATCACCAAAGCATCACCTTGGCATGCCCGCACCGAGCCACCTCGCAGCCTTCTCCGTCGCTGCCAAGTCGTGCCATCCGCAAAACGAATCACGGAGCAACGTCTGCAAAGCTGCATGCCTTACATGTGGGCTCTGAACTTCTATGACTGCATCGACTTTCAAAGAACTGGAACCCACATTCTGCCAAAGCCATGAACTGTGACCTTCGAACGAAAAAACGTGCGCTGCCGTGGGTGTTTGTTGGAACCCAGGTGCCGAGCAGTCTTTTCTGCCTGAGCGAAGTCGCGCCAAGCTTGCCAGTACGGAAGCAAGTTCCGCAAGCTCAGCAGGTGTTCCTCCTCCTTGGATGAAACCTGGCGCCGGAGGCAGCACAAGCTCGAGCACACTCCAAGAGTCACGGCATGGCTGACACTCAGGACATGTCGATGTCAGGACATGTCGAAGGAATCACTGGGCAAGAGGTCAAAAGGCCATGAAGTTGAGAGCTGTGTGTCCGCCTTGAACAAACAGAACCACAGTATACACCCTCTAAGACTCTAAGACTGGTAATTACTATCCCTGCCTCCGTCTCTTCTCTTTTCTTTCCCTTGATCTCCTCCACCTTGCCAAGCAAGGACATTTCTGGACGTGAACATGAAGGCCTCATCGAACTCTCAGTTCTCTGAGCCCTCAACTTTTTCGACCGTCTCTGGCCATGTTGAGGACGTCTCTGCAACGGCAGTGGTCAGCGGACTGTCCTCACACAATTCCATCCGTAAGTGCTTTGACACCTAGAAAAACCGACGAAAACTACCAACATCTGGGGACATCATCGAAATATATCGAAATATCGGATACTATTGTGAAGAGCTAAAGGATTCTGTTTCAAGGGGCTTTTGAACAAACAAGATGTAGATCTTTCAGGTGAAGTGGGTCCTCTGGCGGCGTCTCCTCAACTTCTGTCTCCAAAGGCGGCTGGGGCGGAGCTTCTGTCAGCTTCTCTCCCTTCACGACCCTCGACAAAACGAACGCTTGGCAAAACAGTCTCTGGCATATCACCTTTTTGAGTTCCGCACAGAAGAGTCACAAGTCTTTTGAATGCAATTCTGCAAGAAGACCCTCCTATCAGCTTGAGAAAACAGTCAGTAAGGTGATGATGTGGTATTGTCTGGATGAGACAAATTGGGACAGAGATGCACGTGCTGTGAACACGTGTTCTTCTGACCATACTGACTCTGAAACAACTTGTGGACAAAATTAAGTATTCACAGGAAGGGTATTGCCAAGTCGCTTCTCAGCTTTTTCAGCTTTTGCAAAGTCTCGCCAGGCGATCAAACAGTGGAGTAGCAAGCGTTGCATATCTGCTTGCCTCAGCATACGCAAAATCACCTTCCAAGAAGAGTCTCAACATTATGAACTGATGTCTGCTTATAAGCTGCTATCCGATAGCAAAAGAGAGCAAAAAAAAGGAAACGTGCCATGAACAGTCTTGCTTGACTTGACGAGAACTCAAAACTCTTGCAAATGGTGACGGCTCTACACTCTTAGAGTCAATCATTGCAAAAATAGTTCTTGCAAACTGACCGACTACTAGAACAGAATTGAAGCAAGAAGCAGCAAACCCAAGAAACAAAAACAGCCACATGCTTTTCCCTCTTGGCCCAGCTTTGCAGCACTCCCACTGCGTAGCAAGGTTGTTTCAACAAAACAACTATTTTATCAAACTAGTTATGCTAGTTTGGAGTTCAGCTACGATGCTCAATAAATCTACTGTCAAGGTGCTTCTCAGCTTTTTCAGCTTTTGCAAAGTCTCGCCAGATGAGCAGGCAGTGAAGCAGCAAGCGCACATTTGCGTGCCTCGGGAAAGCATTCAGCTTGAAAACATGAACGTCCCAAATATTGAGTGACACTTGGCGAAACAGTGTCTATGCCTTATCGATTGCCAACATCTGCGTTTGGCATA